GGGGCGGGGGGTTTTGTTTTTGGCACAGCCGCCCCCCCACCCTGGGACCCTTTTTTTGGCCCTTTTCCCGGATTTTTTCGTTTTCGGGAGCTGTTTATGAGCCCACGAGCCTGCTTCTGCCCCCCCCCCCCCCCCGTGTGCGGCTCCAGAGCACCCTCACCGCGCGACCCCGCCCCCTCCGCGCAGGTGACCGGTGCTGCCTGCTGTGCGCACTGCCAGGGTGGGGGAGGCGGGGTTTGGGTGTTGAGCGTGAGCCAGGATCTTACACGAGAGGCCCCTAGGGGTGGGAAGAGAGCGGGTTCAGGCCACAGAGAGCTTTTTTAAAAATATATTTATTTTTTATTTATTTGAAAGAGTTACAGAGGGGGTCATCCATCCGCTGGTTCACTCTCCAAATGGCCAAACTGGGCCAGGCCAAAGCCAGGAGCTTCTTCTAGGTCTCCCACGCAGGTGCAGGGGCCCAAGGACTTGGACCATCCTCCACTGCTTTCCTAGGCCATAGCGGAGAGCTGGATGGGAAGTGGAGCAGCCGGGACTCGAACCGGCGCCGCTATGGGATGCCGGCACTGCAGGCGGCGGCTTTACCCGCTATGCCGCAGCGCCGGCCCCAACATCACGTCTTTCAATCTGCAAGATTCCCCCTGCATAGCTAGGTTCTGTATTGCAGATGGAGTTTTGCAGATGGAGTGGCAAAGTTTCAATGGGAGCCGATGAGGGGCCCACGGCCAGCTCAGCGCTGCGCGGGGCTGGGCCGTCGCCCTCCCCCGCCTTCCCTCATCTGTGCCCATGTCCTCGCCTCCCCCAGGCACCCTGCTGGCCGTCCAGTTCGTCCACACCGTGGTGGACAGAATCATCCCCACGGCTGGGGGCTTCCTGGCCCCCAGCAGGCACGGGTATCTCATCCGCGAGCGTTTCCAGCGCCCCGCGGCGAGAACCTCGCAGCAGGAGCCGTTGCACACCTTCCAGAAGGCAGCGTGGATGGTCAGAGCCAGGCAGAGAGAGCAGCGGGCGGCGGCCGCGGGAGCTCCGGGGGCCTCGGGGTCGGAGCGGGCCCCTGGGAAGGAGTCCACGCCCAACAGGCGCTCGCAAGTCTGCGTGATCGTGTAGCCGCCCCGTGAGCCAGCCGCCGCCAACCCGGCCCAGGCCAAGGAAGCGTGTTTGCTGGTGTACACCCGGCCTCGAGGCCCCAGGATCGTGCGTCCCGGGCCCCGCCTCCTCCCGCGATTCCCTCCATCCCCAGGGTAGCAACAGGATGGCCAATATGGCCTCGTCGCTAAGATCGGAGGCCTGAGACGGAAGTTCCCGCGGAAGTCCCGGCCCTGACTGCACTGCCGTGGTTCTGATTGGC